GTTTGAGAAAGAGAGAGACAACAAACAAACAAAAAAAAGATCCTAATCTGACAAACCTTTCCAACGTATAGGGAGCTTGTCTGTCTGTCTGCCTGCCTTGCCTTGTAATTTTTCTTCCATATGTATTTGCAATGTTAGTAACATAAAATAATTCTGTTTGGCTTCATAAACTCATCACCATAATGCAATTTTAAGCATTAAATCAAATTCCTCACCTTTACGCTTATATTCGATTTCGTTTAAATTTTGTCTACTTCGAGAAACAGAAGCTCTTACCTCAACTCAGACGAACGGCACCTTTCCTTTGATCAAAATTAAGCATTTGAATTTGAATATCTCACAAATTTGAATTATAATACTGTTAAAAAAAGTTCTATATGGCCCGTCATAAAAGACTAGGTATGCAACTAGTTAGTTCCCTGCCTGACCGACTAAGATACGTGTGTGAGCTAGCCATAAACGACCCATCACTACTAGAAGTTAGTTAACAACCATTTAGAGTTCCAACATAGTAATATGCTAACATCATAGGCATAAGAGAAACGACCTCGTGTATGGACCAACTTTAATTGTCAACCCTCCAACAATCCCATCATAGTTACCTGACGAGGGAAACAATTCCATGCTATACCAAGTAGTGGTTAGTTTCCCCATAGTAATTCTCGTGTCATGCTATAACCAAACCAGTTGATCCAAACCTTATTAAACTAGCTCACACACATCGATAGATGGAAACCAACCTACACATAGTGAGATTTCAATTTTTAATAAATATTATTTTACGGGACTTTTAAATATTATTTTTTGGTATTTGTTTAAAATTTTCTTTAAAAAAAAACTTCGTTCTCACTCTTTTTTTATATTACTTTTATAATATTAGATTTGTACTATTTTGCCCTTCTTATAAAATCTGAATATATTAAAAGAAAATGAGTAAGAATGTTTTGTTTATTTTGACTTTGATGTAGTTGGCCACTCGTTGACATAGGAACAAGAGAATCCAACCACACACATTCTTTATAGAATTTGTCAACGGGGTTGACTTCTCTCTCCAAAATTGTGGTTGAAAAGTCAATGAAATCCAACAATATTTTTTACAACTCATTTAATTATAGTGTTTTAACATTTCTGAGTTGTATATTAATTTTTCTTCACAATTACACAGTAAGATGAAACTATGGAGGAGATAATTAATATTTTATTTATCGAACTTTATTTTAATTGACAAATTTAGTCCAGTTCCTCCCGTTGTTTTATACTTTTAGAGAACAATTTAAAAATCCTAGTTGTTGGATAATGAAAGTCTTACATCGGCTAATTTAGGAAATAATGTGCGTTTATCATCAAAAAAAATATTTTCATTGGTACGAGGCCATTTGGGGAAACCCAAAACAAAGTCACGAGAGCTTATGCTCAAATTAGACAATATCATACCATTGTGTAGAGTCATGTTCATCTAACATGGTATCAGAGCCATGCCCTAAACTTAGTCATGTCAATAGATTGGTAAATCCTCAAATGTCGAACAAAGAACTCAAAAGAAAAGAAAGAAAAGGAGTCGAGCCTCCTTGAAGGCATAGTAAAAAATGACTAAGAGTCTCGATTAAGGGGAGGCGTACTTTATTCGAGTGGAGGTGTTGGCAACAAGAAGACCGAGAGTAAACTTTGCCAATATATTTTTAATTAAGGCGTAGGTTAGTTTGGAGAAATCTTTTGAAATCTTTTGAATCGACCCAATATTTAAGTTGGTTGGGTTGGTGACCTGAGCAGTCAGAATAAAAGCCGGAATAAAGTTTACAACACAATCCAATCCCAATCTAACCCTTTCTTTTTAGGCTGAAATCGTGAGCGAGTGCCAGAATAGAGTTTACAACAGAATCCAATCAAACTCTTTATTTTGGGCAGAGTTATTGAGCTTTTTTATTATTAATTTTTAAAAAAATACTATTTATCCACTGCTAAAATTTCATAAAACTCAAAACAAAGCATCAGTAATAGATTACAGACCTTAAATATTCTTAATTTTCATAAAAAAAAAAGGTCAACTCTTAATTTTCATAAAAAAATGTCAAACTCACAAACCCACCCAAATTTTAAAAAAAAAAAAAAAATTATGATGGAGTAGTCAAGTTAGTCGAGTTCTCGGATCATATGAACGCCTCTATGTAGCGTTTAAGTATTAATGAAAGAAGTCAGGGAAATAGTAGCATGAGAATTTTTTACATCCTCCCCACTCGCCCTGTAATATCCTAAGCCCACCGCTAAAAGATATTGTCCACTTTGGCTCATTACATATCGATTTAAGCTTTACAGTTTTAAAACGTATCTACTAGGGAGAAGTTTCTATATCCTTATGATAAATGTTTCGTTTCCCTTTCCGACCAATGTGGGATCACACACGACCTTTTGGTCTATTTTGAGATTAATTGCTACTACTCGAACAAAATTAAAGTTATAAATATTAGTTTCTTAATGATTCCATAAACAAATTGTTAGATTTAATTAGTGGGAAGCTAAAGATAATTTACATGCTACAAAAAAAAACTAAAAGAAATTAGATATAACACGTAAAAATTTCATACATTGCTAAATCTTCTTTTCCACATAGAAATTTCCAAAAAAGAAAAACAAGATCAAATTGTGTTTGTTTCAACCAAACATCTAAGAACATTCACCTGCAACTCAAGACATTTTATGTAACTTTCAGTTTGTTTCAACAATTCTTCCTCTTCCAAACCTCCATTAAAACCACCACCGCCGCCGCCGCCTGGTATGATCTTCCTCAGCCTTTTCAACCCATTTTCCATCTTCTCTTCCTCTTCTTCTTCTCTTTCTAAATTTTCTCGAGAAAATTTCAGTGTTTGGAGAGAGAAATCAAAACCATTGGCAACTTTTGTTTGAAGAAGCTTCTTCTTTAGAGCATTGCCCCACGCAAATTGAGTAGCTGATTCAGCCATTGCCATATCAACTTCAAACTTCACAAGTTTCTGAAATTTTTGTGGAGAAAGATTATTTGATGAAATTTTTACTAAAGATTTCATCAAATATTTGGCATACTTTGTTGCAAATTTGTTTGGATCTATGGAAAATACCCTTCTTTTTCTCACAATTTGCCTTCCCATTCACTCAAAATTTAACGATGTGGGAATGAAAAAGATTGGAACTTGAACAACAAATTGAAGTTGGAAGAGAAAAAAATTGGTGGGTTTTGGAGAAGAGAGGGCAAAGGAGGAGTCTATGTTTATGTAGCAATGGAATGATCAATCATGGGAGAGAGAATTCCAAAATTAAAGAAAGAATTCTTTTGGTTAAATTACATTTAAGTCCTTGGACCTCACCCGTTCACAAAGTTACGAATCTGGAAAAGCATCTCTCAAAGATTCTTGAACGAAGTATTTTTTATAAGGGTGTGGAAACCTCTCTCTAGCATAAGCGTTTTAAAAACCTTGAGAGAAACCTTGAGAATGAAAGTCTAAAGAAGACAATATCTGCTAGTAGTGAGCTTGGACGGTTACATATGTACGGCAAATTAGTTTAGTTACTATAACAGTACGATTTAATATTTAATATGGGAAAGAGGTCACATGGGTTCACATGCATGGGTTTTCCTTAGGGTTTATAAACCTACCTGAAGATGGACCCTTTGGGCATGTGGTTATGCATACAAAAACACCAAAACCCCACTTTAAATGCCATCACATGGATCTCTCTATATCATCAATATCAAACTTTTTGTATACTCTTTCTACACAAATGTTCTCTTTCTCTCTCTCTCTCTCTCCTCCCATTTCAAATCAAAACAGCTCATTTATGCCATTTCATAGCTCTTTTTTCACTAAATTTGGTTTTGGTTCTTTTCCCATTTTGTGGATTTATTTGTTTGTACTCCTCAGCCGGTTTTGTGAAAGGTTCGATCATAATTCGGGTTTGTTCGATTTCAGTCTTTGTTTACTTTGAAATCTCTATTTCATGCATGTTATGACAGTCTTTCAAAATTTATTCGTGTTTGATTTTATCAATTATAGATTCTCTTCAATAAAATAGATTTTTACTTGAAATTTCAAGAGAACCCATGAACCGACTCAATCCATAAAGTTTTCATTTATTTGAACTCAACCCAACTCAAAACGGACGAAGGTGATATGACAAAGTCGGCCACGACCCACATTAGCAAGAGGTAGGGCAAGGATGAGCAAACAAGTGTGGGTTGCTAACATTTGACGATCAAAATGAAAGGATGTAATAAGAATATAGTGATATCTATTCCAATTGGGACCTGAAGGAGGGAAGAGGCAAGAGAGGAAACACAATCTTTGAATGATTTAGGGTTAGCAGAGAAATGCATGTGGGCAGTGGTGGCCACAATTCATTGTAATAATGCTACATCTCACCAGCTGCATTCAATTTTAACCCTATTTTAGATATGGCTATGATTTGGATCATCTATATATATTTGAATGTGGGGTTTCTCACTTTTGAACTGTTATTTCATCCATTTATTGCATCGTTTTGTTTGGACGCCGTTTTGTTTGTACGGAATCATGATGCAAAAATTATAGATCTTTCTAAGAATCTCGATCGATGATTAGACATTTGCATGTCTGTGTGCTTACTTTATATAGATATCATGTGAGGATGTCTCCGAACATGAAATAAGCTGTAATTCTTCATTTATTTCAATTATGAGTGTTTACGAGGTGGATTAGGTTATTATAACATTTTTTTAGACGTGGCTCTATTTAGATTGTCAATTTTTTTAACCTAAACTATCTTTATTAAATAATTAACTCAATGTTTGGGTTGGATGGGTTATAATTGTTTGGTTTGCTTAATTTTTTGTTTTTATTTATAGTATGTTGATAGATAAAACATTCCAGCTCAATTTCAATATATTTTTTAAAAATTATATTTCAAAAACATAAAATATATATTTTTTAAATTATTAGAGAATAAATAATTGAGAAATAAAATAATAAAATAAACTAAAACGTGTCCATTCAAGGCTCCTTCTGAAGGTTTTAAAATTGGTAGAAGGTCTAGCTTTACTTTGACCAGTGTCTCGTACCATTTGGTGACCGGAGCTCTGACACCAAATTTGTCTACTCTGAAGAAGGTCTAGCCTTACTTTGACCAGTGTCTCGTACAATTTGGGGTGACTGGCTCTGACACCAAATTTGTCTACTTTGAAGAAAGTCTAGCCTTACTTGGATAGACACTCTGGTGGCTGGCTCTGACACCATTTGTAGCAACCCATTAACCTGTTACATATCGTCATCAATCTCACAATTTTAAAACGTGTTTATTAGGAGAAAAATATAAAAAATGAATTTTTTTTATGCTTGTTATGATTTATTCAAAGTTCAAAGGTTTTTCATATTTGTATCAACCCTTCTATCCAAAAATTTCAACGTCTAAAAAATATTTTTTACTCTCTTAGCAACATCTTCCTTTTGAAGTAAATCTATATACTAATTTATATAGATGCAGAAATGAATTCTAGGCAGCATTCCAAAGCCTTTATCATCATCATGATACCAATTATTTGTCAGTTTCTTACAGTTTGTAATGTACAAAGTGATGAATGCAACCAACTTGAAAACAGTTGAATAATTAAATGCCAAAAGGAGCATCACAACAGGAAAATGCTGGAAAAACCCAACATACCCATGTAATTATGAACAGGATCTATCTTTGCAATACAATTTGGGAAGCCTTTTAAAGCCACCCTTCTCGCTTAGAAATATGAATGCTCTAATTTGACTATTGCTACCATGGCCAAAATGTGGTATGAAGTTAAGGCAAGTGAAAAAGAAAATACATAAATAAATAAAATACAGAGAGGAGAAGAGGCGAACTTTTTCGATTTTACTTTAGAACTCTGAGAAGTCAAAATTTGATGGGGATAGAACTCTTCAGTTCAATCTCACGAGAGCTTAAGAGGATGAACTGCAACTCCGTTCCGAGCAGCTGGGATTCTCCCCCACCTTCCTAGTCGAGGTTCCTGTCACGAAGTTCATATAATGTCAACTGAGCAACCCGTTACGCTCCTGGCATAGCGTGTAGACGAAACATACCAAGGGCGAAGACAACTGACTGACAATTATCTTGCCAAGTAAACAAAATCCAAGAAAATAGAAGACAAATATATTCAATAAGAGAAGACAATAATGGAAGCCAGCAATATAGATATGAATCAAATTCATCATAATATCCACGGGGCGAGGCAGGGGCCGGGGAAGCCTCCCCACCACCTATTTCATTTCGCATCTGCAAACTTCAAATAGGCTAGCAAGCACACCGAAATCTACCGTAAAACAGGATTGAAGTTAAATTTGCATCATGATTACCTGCCCAACTCCAGCTACCACAAACCTTCCAGATTTGGCAAAAGTCATGGAGTTCACAAACCCAACCTGGAATAAAAAAGATTAAGCCATATGTAAGCAAGACACTAGACTACTACACCTTCAGCACAATTGCGGTTGAGGAAACTCCAAAAATAAATAAAAGCAATGATACATAAAGCGGAAGTCGAATTCAGAAACGGGGTATTTCCAAAAGCAAAAGATGTGGAAAATAGAAACAGGGTTATTTCAAGCAGAAGTCAAATTCAGAAGGTGCCCAAAGGCTCTTCTTGGGGTGCGGGTATACAAGATTACAAATTCAAGCAAGTTCTTGTGTAATATAAGCCATATTCAAGTTATTGATGTAAAGTAAAAGAGAAGGATATTGCATACCAGAGGGAGGTCATATAATGGTCGAACATCTTTCTTATCACTTGTGAGAGCCCATAAACGAACAGAACCATTGCCGGCACCCGATGCAGCAAGGTCACTGTTTCTACATACTGAGACTGAACTTACCCAAGAGTATGCCGACGAACTGTGAGAGGTATTATGATTCGCATCCCCATTTCCTGCAAAGTAACCAAAAGTTACGATTTGATAATAATTTGACTAATAATTGGCAAAAGAAAGGCTATTAAAGTGAACTAAAAGAAAGAATGAAAGAAATTAGAAGATGTAAGATCCATCTTGCATGTAGGCTTGTAAGAACGCAGAAAGACCAACGGACCAAGTGAAGATTATGAACTGGTTTGTGCATTAGTGGCAACATTAAAACTAGAAATAACCACCAATCCCTCTCCAGTCCAGTGATAATTTGCAGAATGATTGAAGAAAAATATATAAAATCCTTGAAGAAACTCATACCCATACAACCATTGGGGATGGCTCCATTTTCCTTTAGCTCCAAATTTGAGCAAGACAATGAAGAAGGATGAGCATTTCGTACAATATAAACAGGCTTCTTTTTTAATGCAATCCAGAGCTCAATACTGCCGTCGGATGATCCAGATAAGAACTCGTCATTGCTAATAAAACAGCAACATTCCAAGGATGATGCAGGCGCACGAAATACTAAACGGGACTCCTCTGGAACCTGTTTCAAGCATCCAAAGCAATAACTAGTCAAAATATTGAAAGGAAAATAGAACTACTGCGGGTATAACAAAACACAAGCATGCTGCCCGAATTTACATTAGCAAAAAGAGAAAAAAAATGGTAAGTCCACTAAGAGAATCATTAAAAACTGAAAGTACTAAAAAAACGGGGGTCTACCTTCCATAATTGCATACTCCGATCACGTCCAACAGTGAGTAATCTTTCTTTCCGTAGGCAATCAATAGTCAATACTTCGCTTTGGTGACCAAATAATGTATTTATATAAGCTCTGTCCTCCACATTCCATATTTTGACAGTTCGATCATATGAACCAGAAAAAAGTTCTGAGGTCCCTTGCCTGAAAGTCAAACACGAAACAGGTCCTCTATGACCAGGAAATGCCTATAAGAAGCCACAATAAAATGACTGAGAAAAGCCTTCGACAGCTATCATACTTCATTTTCTATCCATCCTACTTCCCCCTCCTTTTTTCCTGGTAGGTCTCCAAAGGGAGGAAGAGGGAAGCTTCCAATCAAAGTAGTTAAGAAAAAAAGATAGACACTGAATTTGGGATAACATTGTCCATACTTTCTTGATATTCATTTTTGTAACTACATATCCTATATTTGGGTCATTTGGAGGATCTTTTTGCAGCTTCTTTCGTTTATGTGCGATTTTTACCTCTTTTCTTTATATCAATGAAAATGGTTGTTAAATTTAAAATAAAGAACTTAAAACCCCAATTGAAAAGCACAACAAAAGAAGGATAATTTCATAAAAGCCTCATATATTTATGCCACAAACCCAACCCAAATTAGTTTTGGTTTAGAATTGATCTCAAGAGTTTTCAACCATGCCATGTAAAGTAACAGTAAGCAATAAATAGCAATTACCTGAATATGCTCTCTTGTACGAGTATCCCATATATGCACATGGCGGTCTAAGCCTCCACTTGCCAAATATCGACCATCAGAACTGACTGCTAACGACAAAGTGACTTTACTATGCCTAGTAGCTCGACCTTGGGGATCCTTAGCACCATGCAATCTCAATGCTTCATCACTGGGCCATTGGTACTTCTCCCCTTTACCACTATCTACATCCCAGCATAAGATGGTACCATCCTTAGATGATGAAAACCCCTTCGAATCATCCTCGGATAGAGCCACAGCTGTAACAGACTGTCTGTGCTTAACCAAGAGTTGAAATTCATCGCTAGCTACTGGATTCTGAACCCTGAAAGATGTATAATCATTAACAATTTAAAGCCACCATGCACCTCTTGTAAAATATTTGAAAGTTTTTTCACACATTTTTTCTTTGCCTCTGTTTTTTCCCTCACATACAGGATCTAAGAAACAAGCATATCATAGGAACATGCTCCCCAAGCTTCTTTGTAAACATCACAGTGATTGTTAATGTCAAAAAGCATATAGATTGTTAACGTGCTATGAACTTGGAAAAAACAAGAACAATAAACAAAATGTAATCAGCAGAAAGACAAACAAGAGATTCCAACGAAAATTAAACCAAGAGAAACCAATACCGTGAAGCAATTTCTCTCCGAACCCTTCCACTATCTTCGAGCTGCTCCTGCTGAAGAATCTGTGCAACAAGTGAATCTTTTTCGCCTTCGTCGTCACTCTCATCCTCATCCTTCTCTTTATCCTCCCTCTCCTTTTCTCTCCTCGCAATTTCCCGAATTTTCTCCAAGTACTCGCTAGCTACTCTCTTCCTTTTCTCGTCAGCAGTTTCTTCCTCAAACTCCACATCCTCAGCGCCCACGAACCCATTGTCCTCGTCTGACTCGCCGCTCTCAATCTCATCATCAACAATCTTCCTTCGTTTCCTTGATTCAGAACTAAAGAAAGGATCCTTACTAAGTGGAAAATTCTTCCCCTTCTTTGCCCCTTTGGGAGGAGCCAAAGTTTTCTTCTTCGCCATCTTCACTACAAAACAGAGAAGATACAAAGAGACGCAAATTCCTCAAGCTGATTACGATTAATTATTTGCACTGACAGAGAAAACAGCCATAACAAAAGCAATAGTTAACGGCAACTCGAGAGAAAAGCGCCGCCGCCGTTCATGTTCTTGGGAAGATAGTTTTTGTTCATGAAAAGGGTTTCTGAAGCAGAAGATGAAGCATCGCCGGAGAAAAGAAAAGGAACGACAGAAGGAAAACGCACCCGCCGCCGCTCGCGGAAGTTCGTTGGTTGCTAACGAATCGCCGAGAGAAAGGCTCTGAACAGTCCTTCGGACGCTGCCGTCGCTGGGAGAAGCTCGCCGTCGCTTGTCGGGGAGGCCAGTGGCAGCGCGGGCTGAAGAAGAAAACGTGAGGGGGTGCGGCTGGGTTTAACGAGACGGAGAGGGATGAAAAATACTCTTAGGGTTTAAGGAAATTTCTATTTAATTATTAAAATAAATATTTCTAATCTTAATCGGTGAATAAACTGAAATACCCGCCTTTTTTTAGTCTCCAGATAAACATTTAATATCTATCGTTTATTTTATTAATTTTAGTAATTAAACTAAACAAAATTAATTAATGTACAAATTTTTATTCATTTGTATTTTTATTGATTAATTAATTAATTAATATACCAATATATTAAGTAATAAAAATATTAATTTATAAAATTATATAGATTGTGCAGGAGGAATCTCTCAAATCAATTCGAAATTTAACCTATTTTAAAATTTAAAAAAAAATAATAAATAGAATTAGTACTTATAAATAAAATCAAATAACTATCGAACAAATTTGTTGTTTAGATTTGAAAACTTGAATTTCAAAAATATTTGTAGAAAGTGAAAGGAAAAAATTTATTTGCCAAAGAAGAAATTTAATTTTAAAAAATAAAAAAATTACATTGTTATGAAAGGGGTATAAATTTTTTACCAAATAAGATTTTTTAGGATATTGGCACTATTTTCAAACGCAAAAGATTATATTCTCGTCCAGTAGTTAAGATATCTTGCTTTCACCGAGAAGATCTCGGTTTAATTCCAAGCAATGAAAAATTTTGTTTCATTTTGAAAAATATTTGATTTACATACGTATTGATTATCCTTAATCCATTTCTATATGTGTGAACAAGTTTAGAGGCACTTAACACAAAGAAGCATTCATTGTCACAGGATATCTCTGGCTTTCACTCAAGACACCCAAGTTCAATTCCTTCTTTCTTTTTCATTTTGAAAGATATTTGATTTACATAAATATTGATTATCCTTAATCCATTTCTTATTTTTAATATTTATTTTTAATATTTGTATAACCATCAAGAAGTTTAGAGACGCTCAAAACAAAGAAACATCCATTGTTGTCTAGCGCCCAATTGTTAGGATATTTGACTTTCACTCAAGAGATGGGTTCAATTCCAGGCAATTGAAAACATTATTTCGTTTTGAAAGATATTTGATTTACATAAATATTGATTATCCTTAATCCATCTCTTCTTTTGAATATCTGTATAATCATCGAGAAGGATAGAGGTACTTAAGGCAAAGGAATATCCATAGTTGTTCAGTAGTTAGGGTATTTGGCTTTCACCCAGGAGACTCAGGTTCAATTCCTGGCAATGGAAAACATTATTTCATTTTGAAGAAGATATTTGATTTTCATAAATATTGATTATCCCTAATCCATCTTTCTTTTGGATATTTGCCTTTCACTTAGGAGACTCGAGTTCAATTCCAGAGGCGCTCATGGCAAAGGAACACTCATTGTTCCCGGAGCCAGATTCGATTCCTTTTAACAAAAAAAAAAAGGATTTTTTTTTTAAATCTCTATTTTCATTCTTTTTCTCTGTCACTCTTATAGTTCAGAAATCAATGAAGAGAAAATAATGAAATGAAAAGAGAAAATGAGGTGAGCATGTCTGAATCAAAGCTGGTTCTATTCTATAAGCTGCACAGCTGCAATGGCTGGTATTTTCTCCCTCAACTTCTGTGTGAGAGCAACTCGAACTGTCATAACTCCAGCTGCTGGTCCACTCAGCCGCACTTTAACAACGTAATCTTTTATCTCTATCAGCTCCAGAATTCCACCCCCTGTCCCAGCCAAGTATGGCCTAATCTCTGCAAGTAACTGAAAAACATACCCGACTTTCGAACCTCTAATCTTTTTAGTCGATCATATATATATAACAATGCGTGAGATCCCACATCGATTAGAGAGAAAAACGAGTATCAACGAGAACGCTGGGCCTCAAATGGGTGGATTTGTGAAATCTCACGTCAGTTGAAGAGGAGAACGAAACATTCTTTATGAGGGTGTGGAAACTTATCCCTAGCAGACACATTTTAAAAATCTTGAGGGGAAGTCCAAAAGAGAAAACCTAAAGAAGACAATATTTATTAATGGTGGGCTTGAGCCATTACAAATGGTATCGGTGCCCTGGGTTTTGTGCTAGCAATGATGCTAAGTCCCCAAGGAGGGTGGATTGTGAAATCCCCCGTCGGTTGGAGAGGAGAACGAAACATTCTTTGTATGGAAACCTTTCTCTAATAAACGCGTTTTAAAATCTTGAGGGAAGCCTAAGAAAAAAGATCAAAGAAAACAATACCTACTAACCGTATCTAAACATATAAACCAGAACATAGCATGCTTCGTGTATCAGTTAAGTTGTTGCAAAGAAATTCTATGATCATCTATGCAAGTGTTATTAAATTCGTAACATAGCAGAGAATTGAACAGAGAATCTGACCTTTTCAACATTGTCGTGGTTGAGTTCAAGTCCTGTTTCAGTGTCTATGATCTGCTCAACTTCCAAAATTTCAGGAATTTTGTCTCTGAGTCTGGTCTCGATTCCCATTTTGAGTGTCATGGTTGAGCTTGGGCAAGAGCCACATGCTCCTTGAAGCTTCAATATCACAACAAGCCCATCTATCTCATGCAAAGCAACATTCCCTCCATCAGCCATCAGGCTTGGCCTTACTTCGTCCAACACTTTCTCCACATTTTCCTCAGTCAATGGAAGAACACAACTGGGTGACACCACGTTTCCTTACGAACACCAAAACCCATCAAATTCCAGTCAAAATTTGTTAATTAGTTTTAGTTACTAGTTTGTTCTTAATAGTTTCTTACTTACTATACTAACTGGATGACTAGAGACTATGAACTAGGATGAACAAGTTTCTCCTCAAGGCTTTTAAAACGCGTCTGCCAGGGGAGGTTTCCACACCTTTATAAAAAATGTTTCGTTCTCCTCCCCATCCGATGTGGGATCTCACTATCCACCCCCCAGGGTCTAGCGTCCTCGCTGGCACTCGTTCCCTTCTCCAATCGATGCGGGACCCTCCAATCCATCCCCTTCGGAGCCTAGTGTCCTGGCTCGCACACCACCTTGTGTCCACCCCCTTTAAGGCTCAGCCTCCTAGCTGACACATCTATTTGTAACGTCCCAAGTCCACCGCTAGCCGATATTGTCCTCTTTGGGTTTTCTCTTTCTCCTCATGGCTTTTCAAACGTGTCTGCTAGGGGAGGTTTCCACACCCTTATAAAGAATCCTTCGTTCTCCAACTCAATCGATGTGGGATCTCATAATCCACCCCCTTCGGGGTCCAGCGTTCTCGCTAGCACTTGTTCCCTTCTTCAATTGATATGGGACTCCCCAATCCACCTTCCTTCGAAGCCTAGCGTCATTGCTGGCACACCTCCTCGCTAACAAATCACCCGGTGTCTGGCTCTGATACCATTTGTAACGACTCAAGCCCAATGCTAGTAAATATTGTCCTCTTTGCTCTTTTGGGTTTCTCTAGCTTTCAAAATGCGCTAGGGGAGGTTTTCACACCCTTATAAAGAATTTTTCATTCTACTCTCCAACCGATGTGGGATCTCACTGATACACGATAAGCTCATTCAGAATGTTACAGACCTAATGGTTTCAGTTATAAGCATTCAGTAGAGAAAAGAAGCAGGAAATTGGAATTTGGAAGAGAAATGGCATCTAACGCTGTCACATGATCTTGAATCTATCATCCCATCACTCCAAGAATAGCCAAATTTTCATATTCGTTATGGATCATCGTAAAAGCAAAATCCAGAAATGCTACCTAAATGACGCCTCCGAGTACAACTTGAGTTGAATCCAAGAAAGCGCCGGCTACAAAATTGACCTCTAAAGAACGAACTCTGATTCAAACAATACCGCCCAATCAGTTGCCTAATAAAAACTTGCACAAACAAAACAAGGGAATTGCAGAAGATCAAAAACAGAATCAAGAAACCAACCTTGAAGAATGACAAATGGGAAGCCGAAGTTCGCTCAGACGGTGACCGATACAGAGTTGCAGTGGTTGGAGTTGGTTTAAGAGCTTGAGCTCGAGTTGAGAAAGCGGCTACCATTGGAATGCGAGCTATGAAGACTCATAAACAGTGGGATGCGGTGCTGAGTTAGGGCAATGTGTTTGGGTTATGAATTTTGCAGAAGGGAAACACAGTGATTGGGTGATAAAGATGAAGATCGTCATTGGTGTGGCCAAATTTTGTGGCTGGAAATTGGGAAGGAGAAAAGGGAGAATGTGGATAAAGGGAGCCACACGTTCGATTTAAACTTATATGTTATTTAAACCTTTCTTTCTCTGCTCACACTATATAACACTCTTTTCTTCCTTTTTTTTTAAATTTATTTATTTTCAAATGTATTTGTTCGATCACGCTTTATTTTGGACTTGAGATTCGAGCATAAATCAACATTATTTGCAAAGTCTAAATTTTTCTCGAGACTGACTTATTCGCCTCACGACCAGCCTTAAGGAGAATTAAGCCCCATATATATTTTTCACCCGACTTTGTGGTTTTATTGGACTTTAAGCGAGATTTGTATTCGCCAATCAAACACAAGCGGAATCCAAGCTTGTTCAACCACACGCCACCTGCGCGTGCATGATTGCGAGGTTTGTCTTCGCCAATCAAACACAAGCGGAATCCAAGATTGTTCAACCACACACGCCACCTGTGCGTGCATATTCAATCGTTTGCGACACATCCAACTTGCCTCTACACTAAGCAAGTCATTCGGCTCAACTTTGCCTCTGCTCAGGCCAAGGTCTCTCAATGCAACGTCGCATCTCATCTTGTCATCTTATTTCCCGTAATATAGTCCATATATCTTGATGCCACCCCGAGTCTCGGGATGTCGTCAGCCATCACAATTTGTTCGGTCATGCCATCAAGAACGAGCCTGCGTGTCGCTCATCTCATCGGAACTTCCCGAACATCCATCCATCCGGGTTCTATCGAGGCATTGGCCTTCCTATGCCTATGTCGTGTCATTTACAGATACCGTGCCGGTATTGCACCCCAGCCCGCGTGTTGGAGGTTGCTATATACACCCGCTTAGAACAAAGTTGCACAATCGTTATACTGTTGCCGCAAGAATATGATTGTGGCAAGTGGTATTTTTGTGACATGATATTGTTTAATTTATATCTAATTATTCATGTCTTCCGTGGAACAAAAATATATAATTTTTACTTCACTATGATAGTGTTCTAATTATATATCATGAATCTATGAGACATTATTCAATCTCAAATACCACTTGATTTTGAACATTGTCTAGGTTTAAGTCTCAAAACCCTAAATTTGCCGAGCTCAAATATTAAGGATCAAAATTGTATTTTTCCAAAGAATAATTAGATTACACTCCAATCAATATGAACCGCAATCGTTTCAAAGAACCAATCGAACCAATCCTACTATTAAAGTTTAGAAATAATTAAAGTCTTATAATCTTAGAAGTTCCAATTTAGTTCATATAATCCAAGTTAAACATTAATTTTCCACAAATCTAAACTTTGGATTTCTTAGCGCAAGTATTGAATCATCACTCTGTTAATCCGAGCAATATAGCACCAACTATTAACTATCATTTCGAAGGTGGATGGTTCAATTAACTATGATTTCAAAGGTGGATGGTTCAATCTATGATCCTACAATTGTTAAACTCAAAACAAAATCCATCGAGTAATTTAGTCCAATAATCATAAACTCCCCTAAAGTGGCAAAGTTCAAAAAGGAACTCCCTATAAAATGGGTCCTTTTTTCTTTACTTAAAATCATCTGAATGTAGAGAACAAAACTAGTAAAACACAGAAGTTATCACTGAACAACCAGACCATCAAAATAAAGTGTTCATCAGATAAACACTGAATTGGTGACAAAATGGAAACTGTAAATAACCATTTGCCGGAAAATATACTAAGTTTCAGACACTCAACTCATGAAGCCATAGCCATCCACAAAGGACCACTTACTGTTCATTTTACTCTCTTCTCCAAAATCTATCTTCCAATCCAAAATATGGAAAATAAACAAGAAAAAGAGAGGGCAGATTGTCTTGCCTAGATCCACTGGTTATTTAAAACAATTACCTGCAACTGAGAAGAATAAAAGCCATTAATATCGTTAAACAGAAAACTTGCTATTCAAAATAATGAATACAAAAGCACAGAGAAGTCGGGATAGATCTTCAGTGCATAAAATGAGTATCAACAGATTATGATTAGGTCATTGTGGATGAAAAGTATTGTTATGAGGACCAAGTACGATGAAGGATTACTATTTATTTGATTGCAACCAAATCTTTTATAATTTTATTTTGAGTTGCCAACTTCTCTTTTTTTCTTCATTTTGGATCGGAAAATAGAAGAGTTGCGTGAATAAAAAATACAAGGGAGGTTCATGGCCAAGAGTAAAGATGCCCAAGTAACAATTATTTTGGAATGTACTCGATGGGTTCGAAATGGTGTTAATAAGAAATCTGTGAGGATTTCCAGATATATTACTCAAAAAAATCAATACAATACGTCTCGTTGATTGGAATTGAGAAAATTCTGTCCCAGTTGTAATCTTTAGCAGCCATGATAAAGCCAAGAAAAGTAAAATATCTATTGCGAACAAGAAACTCGTACCTGATACATGTGAACTGAACAGAATGATGAACTTTTTAGATGCCGTGGAGGACTTTCTGAGGATCAAGTTGGCCACTACAGTAACTTGAAGGAACAGCAGAAAGCTCCAGTCTTCCTCTCCATTCCTCGCCAGGTTTCAGAGCGATTGGCTTTTCGATAACTGCAGCCTCCACACACAGCATGTACTTGTACTCTTCATCTCCAAAATCAGATATTGCCTTTGCTTTCTTATCCCAAGGATTCCAGACCACTGAGCCAATAAAATAAAATTGTATTGAGATTCAAATAAGGAACATTTGGGGGACGCGAAAGCAGAATAAAAGCCATTAATTCACATTGATCATGTGGGTCTTATCCTTGGTTATTATACTCATATTAATTAGTAAGTTTAATAATATTGAGCCCCTAAGAAACCATTAGGGTAAGGAGACTTGGTCCCTCGAAGGCAGCGGAGCCTTCTCTGTTGGATCCTTAGTGCCAACCTTTTTTGAGTAGCAACCCATACCAACATTTCACGAACCTTATTAGGAAAGCCAAATTCCCCAAAATGTTGGACAGAATTTTTCCTACAAAGTTCTTTAGAAGGTACCTAGTGCTATGCTATGCCCCTGCTGGTGTTTATGAGAAAAAATGATATGGAGGATCAAGATCACTTTCTCTTCACTTGCCTGTTTGCTGCACAGCTTGCTGGGGTCACTTGCTCAAATTCTCAACATCGAATGGTGCTTTCCTAAGAATAGTTCAGCATCAGCAACTCTTTTCCATTACCTTCTTTAATGGTAGTGCTAGACTTATTTGGTCCTATGCTGTGGGGCCTCTTCTACGGAGGCTTTGGTATGGAAGGGACAAATGGGTGCTTCATCTGATGACGATGAATCTTATCGGGACTTTTCCAGATCTAGTCAAACTCTTTGCTTTTACTCAGTGCTCTGCTTCTCAAGTTTTGTAATTTTGATTTGTGGCACATTTATACCAGTTGAGAATCTTTCTTGTAATTCCTGTCCCATTCACTTGTTGTAGGATTTCCTTCAGGTGGTATTTTATGGAAAAGGTTTTGGTGAAAACTAGAGATGCAGAGCTTCAATTGTCCAGATATCTTTTTTTTTTCCCCCCAAGAAACAGAACCAAAAAAAAAAAAAAACAGAGTAAAATATTCAAAAGAGACTGAAGCATCCAAGGAAAATGAAGGTTACAAAAGTACCATTCCAATAAGCACAAATAAGACACTATTAAAAAGAAAGGACTTCTGTCTTTGGCTAAAGGGGACATATGGTTTCTCTCGATCTATGTGCACTGATGAGATTAAGGCAAAAAAAAAGTCTTTTCTTGAAAAGAGAGTAAATATTTGCTGAGTTCTGAGTTCAAAGAAAAGCACCAGCCGAAGGGAGAGAAAAGCATGTTCCAAAACGAGGTTGCCTTGTTACTGTGATTGATGTATGTGATTTTGAGATTCAGCTACACTTGGAGAAAGAGTTGTGAATTGAAGGGTTCCTAGGATCTTATCTGAAGCAGATGATTTGTTCTTAAAATAAGCTCCCCAGATGAAAATTTTAACTTTTCTAGGATATTTATCCTCCCAAGTTAAAAAACAAAGATTTTGATCCAGAACCCTTTTGTGAGAGTAAAGATCCTGAATGAGGGAACTACAACTAAAAGAACTCGAAGCCTCAAGGACGACCCTCGTTCCTTGAAATTAAACAGGAAAATAAAAAGAAAAACACTTCTTACCAGCATCTGGAAGTCCTTCTTTTCGAACTACAAAAGTCCTTTTCTTCTCATGATCCAGAATTGCAATCTTAGATGGAGAGCTAAGAAATATCTTGTCCACCTATTCAACCCAAACACAAAAGAGAATGTCTTGAGTACAATGTAATGACTAAAAGAACGAGAAGAAATAGAATACCTGAACTCACTTCTGATTCAAAAGTTAAAGCATCCCCCTGTTCAGTAAAACGCGCTCTACTCTGCAAGTTGTCAAGATAGTCCAAGGTCTCCAAACCTTCCACCCGAACTTCACTGGCCATAGGCAACTATCTCTTTTTAGATACAAGATAAACAAGCCTTGAATTACCCTTAACAATTTTTCAAATTTTGTGCCAATAAGCGAAAATGAACTGCAAAAATGGATGGTTTACCGTAAAGAAACAGAGGAAAAAAACTTTTTCTTTCCGTATGAGATTTGTAAGATGGTCAGAATTCAATTTATTTGAAAATGTTGTTTCTCCTAATTAGCTAATTCTTTACATGGAAACCTCCACTGGAATGTATTAACAGAAGAGGAAGATACACACAAATCAGAAACCATAATTAATCACAAAAAACCAATGTCAATCAGGCACTCAGCTCCAAAAGAAAACACCACAACCATCTAGACAAAGTAGTTCCCAATTATATATACTCGTAACTGAGCTAATTGACCAAAAGCCTATTACCTTTCTTCTGCCCTTCTTAGAAATTAGACAAATATAAGTTAAATTCATGATGCAATTATACCTCTCTCCTCTCATAGAACTCACTAAAGACCTTCCAAAAAACACCCTTCAAGCTCTCTCAATTATCTTGAAAGAAAGCCATCATGAAGTCATTCGAGCTTGTCACCTTGTCCCTCTCAAAACCAAAGACTACCTTACAAATTTCTTCCAAAGAGACAGGAGCCTTCAATTCTTTCCTAACTTATCAGAAATAGGGATCCAGATGAAGCCCTCAGGAAAACGAGGGCTGAGAAAATAGACAATCCCATTCTTCACCGCACTGTTCCTCTAATGAATTTCACCATTCTCACCAACTAAAGAATCAATGAGATTCTTATTCTTATTCCTCCTCTCCTTTGCTAATTTATTATGGAAAAAAGACATATCGGAGACCCCCTCTTTGGCCCACTTCACCTTAGATTTAACTCTCATAAAGCCTCCTTCCTATCAAGATCTTCAAATTTTCCCTTCAACAAAATTTTCTCCTCTCGCAAGATATCAATGTTAATTTATCTTTAAAAAATCAAGTGGTACACAACTAACACATTACTCACAGTACAAATTTAACTTTTTTTCCTTTGGATAAGTAACTAAACTTTCATTGAGAAAAAATAAGAACACACAGAAAGGTTTCACCATACAAGCCCATAGAGAAAACTAGAATCTAAAAGATGACTGAACCTTGCACTGAGATCTCTTGAAGCAAAGGAGAGGACAAGGGATGAGATAGAACGGCACCTACCGACTGACTCCTCATCAAGGATAAATGGAATAAATGAGGAAACAAAGAGCAGAGGGTTCTATCTTTCAACCACTTACCCTCCCAAAAAAAGTGTCCCTCCCATCCCCAACTGACTGTCAAGGAAAAGGAATGAAAACTAGAAGCTCCTCAATGATGCGTTCCAAAGGATTTTGTAAGTGCTTCTAACCCAATAGAGATCCTTTCAGACGGATATGGCCCAAAATTTGATCACAATAACCTTATGCAATAAGGTACTGCACTCGAGATAAAAATGCAAAAACTATTTAGCTAAAAGGGGCTTGCTCAACCGTTTCAATTTGAAAATGCTGGAAAATCAGGACCTCATATTAGTAGTCACGTTTAAATTACAGAAAATGTAGACTCATTACTTCCTTGATATTACACCAATACTCAGTGGTAAATCTAATTCTGTCAGCTTATTTCAATTTGTTTGATAAAGAAGGAAAGAGATAGCACAGCTGTAGTGAAGGATTTTTTTTTTTAATTGTAGCTTTGAGAAAAAAATGCCTCAGAGATGCTTTTCCTCACTACGGTGCAAATGGAAACTGAAAAGCACTAGAGAAGCAACCAAAGGAAGATTCCTAAAAAGTACTGACGAAACAATCTTCAATATATTGAGTCAACATCTTTCTCAGCTACACACAATCAAGTTTATTGCTAAGGTACGTGTCCAATTTCACAACGTCATGTTATTCTCTTTTTCCTTTTCCTTTTTTTTTTTTTTTTTTACTCTCTCTCTTCTTGTAAGAAGTGGAGGAAGATGAAACCTCCAAACTAGCCAACATAGCTACAAAAACCCTCCAATTGACTAGTATATGAAAAGAAGAATAACTACGCAAAGACTTTGAAAGCGTAAACCATCTACTCATCCAAAACATAGCTTTGTAAAAAGACTTGTTCCTAGCAAAGGAATCCTCAAAATGGTTTCCAATTTCTCTCTAACCAAATATTGCTCACACACCGAAAACCCAAGAGTTCCCAAGAATACCAGAGAAATGTTTTCCATGTGCATGGAAAACAAAATGACGATCCATCAACATGTCCCTGCTTCAATTTCAAAAGCAATCAAACTATAGTACAACAAAAATTGCATAATTGTGATGATAAAACCCACACTGATGGCTGGGGAAGAGAATTAAGCTTCAACTTGCTTGAAAAATGAGGTGAAAGTAAACATTTTCAAAATTGATGGTAGAAACCAGTTCTAAGCTCTGTCTAGTATGTCTTATACCATAACTCTACCTCCTTTTGACTGTTTTAGATAAGAGCTGAGAACCTCATCAACAATTTGTAAATATTTGAAAAACACAGACAAGTATTAGGTGAAGTTGCTGGTACCTTATGTCTGATACTGAGAAGTAAGTGTGATAAGCAAATGTGAACGAGAAAGGCTTTCCATCTGCATTGGTATTCCTAACACGTGATGTCAATGATAGCTCTCCAGAAGGTCCTAGAGATACCCTCAGACGGTACTCATAACTACAATTTAGTAAAAGAACGATATTATTGACTGAATGGAAATTTTTGTAGTGATAGGAATGACAACGCTGCATGAACCCTATATGGAATTTTCAGAATAATTCGCAAGTAAACATGTAACATTTTACCTATGAGGCCAAACCCTTGCATCCTCTTCAGAGGGCTTTAGGATTAGATCAACAAAAGTCTTACTGGAGGTATTCGTTTGAAGAGGAGGTGGATTATTATCAATGCTCCAAAGTCTTATTCTAGCAAATCCATGTGCCTCAAGAGGACCAAGATTTGAAAACTGCACGAATGCATAATTATTATGCAACAGAATAAGATCAAACATAAGGTCCATTCCGTGCATTAACTTGCAAAGAAGCACATACTTGAGGAAAACATATCGGAATCCCTCCACGAATCGGTTTTAGAGGCTTGAAAATGGCCTGCACAGCAACAAAAAATTTATTAATCATTCTGATAAAGTAACCTAAAATTACAAGAAACTCAAAGTTCAAGGATAAATTAATGACAGCAACAACCTTACGCTCTTGCGGTTACCAAGGATAAAAATATCAGTGTCAAAGAAACAATCACGTTTCAGTTAACAGAAAATCTCAAATTCATTCTTAACCGGATTTATGAATTTAGAAGACTAAATTGTACATCATAAGAAATAAGAGTACAAATACATGGAAATGGTATCAAGTATATAAGATTTAACAAGAAAATAATAGCGTAGGCCAATGTTAATTATGATCTTAAGAATGTTAGAATGGAAAAAGTATATCAATAATTGAACGTTCTCTCAATCCTTCTAAATTTTTTTTATAAGAAGCATAACAATGTCAAGGACAACCTAAACGAGTCAGAAACTAATGGTTGGGGTAGAGATGACCACCACCAAGTAACACCTCCGATCAAGGTTAATCAAAATTACATAGTGATTACAAAAGTTTAGTCCTTTTGGAAATATTACATTACACCATAAACAGGGGCAGGGGAAAATGGGGATTGAACTCCTCACCAGGAGGAAGGAGACATTGCCACCAAACCAACGAGTTACCCAAGAAAGCTCAATTAAAAATAATTTATTATGAAGGGCACTCAATCCTAAAAATCCTCCAAAGAGTTGGGACTCCACACTCGAACATCCCTTCTCCCAAGCCTAAAAAAGACCTCCATAAGCAAGGCAGAGAGACAACATTTATTGTGTCATTATCAGTCCAAGAGCAACAAAACCCAAACAAAAAGCAAACTGATCTTCCCAACCAGACCAAAAAATCAGACATCACATGATTTTTAAAGAAGACAAATGATAGAGACAAGGGAATGCAAAGCAAAGGGATCTATCTCCCGCCTACTGATCTTCCCAATAATACGTTTCCTACCCCTGACCCGTCACACAATGAACCAAGTGAGAGAAAGAAGGGAGCTCAAAATAGATATCATCCACAAATTATGGTAAGTGCCTTTAACCCTACCCAATAGCCACTCAAAAGGATGAAGACCATACTTGCTTTCAATAACCCTGTGACAGAGAGAGTTGGGTTCAAGGGTGAAATGCCAAAGCCATTTGGCTAATAAACCAGCCTCTCAATACCTCCGACCAAACCAAGTACGACAAGTTTCCTCATTCCATCCCTTCCCAAAGAAAATTGGGTATAAGCTTCTCAATGTTCTTACAAACTGCACATGAAGCTCTAAAGAAGGAGAAATAATAAACAGGATACCACTCAAGACAAAGCAAATCAAAGTTAGTCTACCAGCTTTAGAAACTTTTCTTTCAAGAGGCTAATGTTTTCCTAACTTTGCCCACCACCAGATTCTAAAAGGAGATGGATTTGGGATTACTTCCAAAAGGGAGACCCATCATTTTTGCCCCAACTTTTGAGCTTCTCCGCATCGCAATGAGTACAATAATCTGACATTTACTCGTGCTAATCCTAGGCCCAAAAAAATCTTCTAAAAACACCAAGAAATTATTCATGATTAAGAACGCAACCTCATTTCTAGAACCCAAAAAAAAAAAAAAAAAGTATCGTCTGGAACTTGAAGATAAGACCAACTCAAGAACTGTTTCATTATTTCTACTATTCTAACCAAGGTTAGAATAGTCGAAAGTAAGAGAGTGTATCAAAGAAATTAGAATGATTCAATTGGTTAAAAATATGTAAAATGAAAATTCAATAGCACCTTGTTACTAACAAAAAGCATCTCTTCCCCATGATCATTCTTCCAAGATGTCACGTGGGCCCCATATAAATATACCTGGAAAGAACAAACATTAATCAGTTGCCACATAAAGAAACAAAACCTGTCTGCTCAAATATGAACACTACAGAAAAATGAAATCCAGGAGTTGAGTAGAATGACAAGCATGAACTCATCGAGTAATAAATAACATAGGTTTTAGAATCAAGAGAAGATAATAGTCCTGTCACAGGGTTGTTTTCCCTACAGCCACCGTCCCCCTTCTGAAGGTAGAAATTTTGTCCAGCTATAGTTCCTTCCAAGAATTCATTACAGTAACTAAAATCTTTGATGCACGTGAAAATAAGAGATCAGAAATGTCATGCACACATACACAGCCCGAAAATGGCCGAGCCCAAGATCCTAAAGACGTGCACGAATATAAATACAAGAACAGATGAACCAAATTTTAACCCGAGAGAACATACAATTCAATCCAGAAATCCAATAGAATCAAAGCAACAAAGAAAGAAACGCAAGCCACAGAAATTAAGATCCCAACTCCACTCCCCCGATTAAAATCGGAAGAAGGCGAACGCGAACACCTTAGTTGAAAATCAGATCAATTCCACATCTCAAAAGAGCTCACAAAAACAAATTCACAAATAAATCAAGCAAAACATTCAAATAACAAAGCCTAGAAAATTCCAGCAATGATCTCATTTCTGAATTACTCAAATCCCCCACAATACCTCAGCAGAACTACCACGAGGATCGCGAAGGACGACTTTATCAAGGCCATTGATGCCCTTAACGACGTCCACAGAGCCCGAAGAAGCTCCAGAAGATGCCACAACCTTTTCGCCGCTCATTTAGAAGCCCCTTTATGATTTCGTTGTTGGAAATCTTCGCCGTCGGTGGTGTAGTGTTCGTCCTTGTTCCTGATTCAGATCGGGAATGTTAGCGCTGTTAATCCATAGCCGTGTACTCGAACTTTGGTTTATATTGTTGTTGGCATTTTGATCAGAAAGTGGAAAGCAGAACAGTCACCATCAAGTCACTGCAAATCTCGGAATCTCGTGAAACTCCTTTCTCTGCATTTCCTTTTGTCTTTTGTCTTCACATTAAACTCCGTAAATTTTTTTAAAATTAATAATACTAATATTAAATACTATTAAGGTTTTAATTCTACTTTTATTAATATATATATATATATAATCAAAATTAATAAAACGTTACTTTTCCCTTTGCAAAATTTTAAATGTTTATATTTATAGATATAAATATAACTCAATAGTTCAATTATCTTATTTTGCCCCGTTATTTTATTTTTAATTGATTTTTAAAAATTGATTTTTATTTTCTCCTTCCCATTATTTAGAATTTACTGATCTGGTTGCTGCTAATATTAAGTTACTTAATTGTGTTTATTTATTTCCTTTTACTTGACATGTTATACGTTATAAGTAATTGCATTTCTCATTTTCGTCTTTGTCTTCAATCCCGACCCGACCCCGACTCCACCCATCCCACTCCATCCCACTACATATTTATATGTAAATATATTTATATCAATATTTATATATACAATCTAAATATATAATAACTTATTATATATATGCAATTAGAATAGTTTTTAAAATAAATATTTAAAAAGTATACAACATATGGAAAAATAAAATCTTCGTCCTAGACTCAATTTAAAAGTTTTCCATCGAACCAAGAATCCCTTCTTGTGATGTTCCACATTGGTTGGGGAGGAACCTTTATAAGGTCGTGGAAACCATCCCTAGCAGACGCGTTTTAAAACTTGAGCAGAACCCCAGAAATGAGAGTTTAAAGAGGACAATATCTGCTCTTAGCAGAGGGAAAGCCTAAAGAGGACAATAGACAATATAGCCTAAAGAGGACAATAGACAATATCTGCTGTTAGCAGAGGGAAAGCGGACAATATCTGCTGTTAGCAGAGGGAAAGCCTAAAGAGGACAATATCTGTTGAAATATATGTTAAGAAAGCTGACAATATAGAGCGAAAGCGTAAGAGGACAATATCTGTTAGCCGAGGGAAAGTCTAAGAGGACAATATAGAGGGAAAGTCTAAGAGGACAATATCTGTTAGTATGGGTTGTTACACTACTTGATCTCTACAAAAATTAATAAAAACGAGACGGATATGGAAAAGACTTCTCTATCCCTCGTCATTACATGTAAATAATGCAGCACATCCTTATAGGTGATTTATGCTAATTTTTGCTTAATTAAAAGCGTGAGAAGGGGAAAATGAAATTGAACTAGACGAAGTTGGGATCTTCCATTTATAGAAGACGACGAAATTAGGTTCCAGAAGTTTCCATTTTCTTTGGCAATAAAAAAAGAAAACGCGAGGAATTTGTCTTCAATTCAAACTCCTTCCAGATCTCATCTTTGATCAACAACGATTTAGCTGTTTAATTTGATCTCACGCCACAGGTAATTCAAATTCATTCCGGAGATTTCTTCTGACCTTAATTCTTCCTTTATTCCGTAGGCTCAAGATCATCATTTTGCTCGAATTTAACTTCACAATCCAAGGAGTTCGAACGATTTCTTGAATTCGATGCAGGAGCAACGTCTTCCCTACGGCTGCGCCTTCAGATAAGTTTAATTTCCATGGCGCCTAGTGGAATGTTCTATGTTTTTTAGTTTAGAATTTCATTGAAGGTCTGGTTTTAAATCTTGAATTGGCTTGGGGAAACTGAATGAATTGGGGTGTAGTTACAAATCTGAATCTGCTTTTAAGTTGGGATTACGTGTTCTTCATATGAGTGAATATGAATTTATTACCATTTTAAGAAAATACATCGTCTTATCTCTGGAGTAAAATTAGGTTATATTGTTGTTTGAGCAATAAAATTAAGAAAGCTTTGTTGTAGATTCAATCCTTACTCAAAATGGCACCTACAGGTCACAAGCTTGAATGCTTCACAATGTCTGAAGGTATGTGACACTCTATTCACGCACTTTAGATCGGTTTGATAACTCGTTCTTTACAACAGTTGTTGAAAGATGACAACCTTGGAATATCAAACATCCCGAACAGAAATGTCAAAATCGAAAGAGCAAGCGCAGGAAAACTTAGAGGGAAAGATATAATGAAAATCACACTTTTTATAAGTTTATTGTCATCTGAAGTATTACACTCTGCTGTACACACGGTTGTTCTTCCTCGGGAAATGCAAATAAAAGGAAAACTAAATTGCAGACCACCTAACTTCTCTCCTGAAAAAAATTGAATGAAAAAATAAAACTGAAAACTAAACATATGCTCAAAAAGGGGGGGGG